GCAGCAATGTGTCTGCAGCGCAGCTGGGAACTGGCAGCAGCAGTTATGGGCACTTTCCTCGGCCAGTCAGACAGAGAGTTAACCTGGCAAGTGGCTGGCTGTTGGAGTAGCCACTGGAATGGCAGCATTGTGTGGTTACCCACACAAACAGTGAGAGAGTGTCTGAACTGGGGGAGGGTGCATTGTGAATGGGATTTGAGCATGCGTGAGCTGCGAGTCAGCAGACATCCTCCCTACAGAGTTGCTCCCTACAGCTGGGACTGGCTGTGGGCTTTTAGACAAATAAAATAAATAGCAGAGCCCTGGCACTGATTACACACCCAAATCTCACTTCCTGTTGCCCTTGGAATTGGCTTCAGGAGTGTATTATCTGTAGGCCAAGAGCTGTTGCAGCAGAAACAGTTTCCCTCTGTGACTGAACCCCAGAAGGGGTGCTTGGGCTGGACCTGTGGAGGTCAGGGGTCATCATTACTGTGAAGGAAAAACAAACCTCACCCCCAAGCAGCAAAGGTGGTACAGCCCTAAGGAAGCTACAGAGGCTCAAAACTGTGAGGCCACAGAGGATAAAAATCTTACAATTCAGCACCATCTACTGGAACAGAGTAGAAAGGCCTCCTCAGAGATAAATGGGAAAACAAAAGAGAACAGTGAACGCCATGAACCACCACCACCACCACCACAATGACCAGAAAGAAAATCCCCAGAAAACAGGCTGGAACACATGGAATTATGTGAGTTGAATGACAGAGTTCAAGATTGCAGTTCTGAAAATACTCAATGAGATGTGAGGAAATACTGACAAGCAATTCAGCTCACTCAGAAAACAAATCAATGAATAAAATAAGTATTTCTCTAAAGAAATTGAATTAAAAAAAGAATATAGCAGAAATCCTGGAATGAAGCAAGAAATTAAGAGTGAGCTAATGATCATAGAAAACAGAACCAACCAGTTAGAGAAAAGAACTAGTGATATTGAAGATAGGAATCAAGAAATTATGCAGAGGGAAGAAGAGAGAGACCTGAGAATAAAGAAATACAAAATAGCCCTACGAGACCTCTCTGACTCCATAAAAAAATTAACATTAGAATCATAGGAAAGCAGAGGAGGAAGAGAGAGAGAGAGAGCATGGAATAGTCTCTTAAAACAAATAGTGGATGAGAACTTCTCAAATCTATGGAAATAACTAGATCCTCAAATCCAAGAAGCAAACAGAACACCTAGTTACCTCAATCCGAAGAGGCCCTCTCCAAGGCACTTGGTAATGAAGCTGTCAAAAATTAGTGACAAAGAAAAAAATCCTCAAAACATCCAGGGAAAAGAAGGAATGGCCTGTTCTGGCTCAGGCTTTAGATTTTCCTAAAATCTCTCAAACATGTAGCAGCTGGCGCCAGCATACCACATATCTCTCAAGACCTGGCACTAGCACCAGCTTGCCTTGCTTCACAGCTTCGTCATTCCTGGGCACCTTCAAGCCAAACATAAGTAGCAGCCATCTGCAGATCACTCTATAGGTTGTGCTGGGAGCCCCCAGGCAGGGCACAGACAGAAGACCAAAAGGGGAAAAAAATCAAAAATATGAAGATAGTGTAAGGAGCCTTTGGGACAACTTCAAGTGTACCAACATTCACATCATGGGGGTGCCAGAAGGAGAAGCAAGAGAGCAAGATATTGAACACCAATTTGAAGAAATAATGACAGAAAACTTCCCCTACCTGGTGAAAGAAATTCAGGAAGTGCAGAGAGTCCCAAACAAGAGGAACCCGAAGAGGTTCACACCAAGACACATCATAATTAAAGTGCCAAAGGTTAAATACACAGGGTCTTAAAAGCAGCAAGAGAAAAACAGTTAGTAACCTATAGGGGAGCACCCATATGACTGTCAGCTGATTTCTCAAAAGCTGAAACTTTGCAGGCCAGAAGGGAGGGGCAAGAAATATTCAAAGTGATAAATAGCAAAGACCTACAACCAAGATTATTCTACCCAGCAAAGTTATTTAGAATTGAAGGCCAGATTAAGAGCTTCACAGACAAGAAAAAGCTAAAGGAGTTCATCACCACCAAACCAGTATTACATGAAATGTTGAAGGGTATTTTTTAAGAAGAAGAAAAAGATAAAAAATATGAACAATAAAATGGCAATAAATATGTATCTATCATCAACAATTGAATCTAAAAACCAAACTAAATGAACAAGGAATCTAATGAACAGAATAAACTAATGAATAAAATAGAACCAGAGGCATGGAAGCATAGAACAGACTAAAGAATCTCAGAGGGAAAGCGGGAGGTGGTAAGAGATTAATCAAAGAACATATGCATTTATGCTTTACTTATGGATGCAAACAATAGGGCAGTGAAGGTTGGGGATGGGTTGGGAACTAGGTGGAAGGGAGTGGTGAGGGGTAAAAAAGACGAACATCTGTAATACTCTCAATAATAAAGATTTAAAAAAATGTATTCCCAACCCATATAAAAGACCAATAATTTTTTTTAAGTGAAAAAGTCATATAAAGAGTAAGGCTGGATAATATCCCTAAAAAATATCTGAATAAGCTTGAGATTGTGTGATAAAAATACCAAAGGTATTGGGGTTAAACAGCAAGAATTGTTAGAAGGCACACCACACTATTTCTGATTCATTTCTAAACATATCCATACTTTCTTTAAACAACCATGCTTTTCTAAAAGTCTTAGCACAAAGAACACTTAAAAATTTTTTCTTGTAGAATCTCAGAGGGAAGGGACGGGGGTGGGTAGGTGGGAAGAGATCAACCAAAGAACTTGTATGCAGCCCAGGTGGCATGGCTCAGTGGTTAAGTGTTGACCTATGAACCAGGAGGTCAAAGTTTGACTCCTGGTCAGGATTCATGTCCAGGTTGTGGGCTTAGTCCCCAGTGGGAGGCGTGCAGGAGGCAGCCCAATGATTCTCTCTCATCATTGATGTTTCTAGCTCTTTTTCCCTCTCGCTTTCTCTCTGAAATCAATAAAAATATATTTAAAAAAAAGAGAACTTGTATGCATATATGCATAATCCATGGGCACAGACAATAGGGTGGTGAAGGCCTGAGGCAGGTGGCAGGGAAGGGTTGAAGAGATCAATGGGGGAAAATGAGGGACATACCTAATACTTTCAACAATAAAGATTAAAAAGAAATTTTTTTTCCAGGTTTGAATAAGGCTAGAAATGTTGAGTTCCACAATATATACTAGAACATTGTAGTGTGAAAAAAAGAAAGAATATCCATCAAGAGGTAAATAAACTGTGATTCACTCATAGAATGGCATATTAGACACCATTAAAAAAATAATTAGATGTAATATATGCAATCTGATTTGAAAAGATTTCCATTATTAGTGTTACTTGAGAATGGAAAGATGCAGAAAAGTGTATAAAATATAATCCCATTTTAGTAAATAACTATGACAGTCCTCATAGTCCCCAACCCTACACAGGGTGGGACAAAAGTAGGTTTACAGTTGTTTGTATGGAAATACAATAATCTATATATATAAAAGGCTAACATGCAAAGTGTCCCCACGGGAGTTTGACAGGGAGACCAGATCGATCGATCGATCGCTATGACGTGCGCTGACCACCAGCAAAAAATTTCTATATGTGACAAACGGCACCAGAGTTAAGTTAGGGTTTTTCAAAATGCTGACACGCTGAGCTCAAGAGGTTCGCCATCACTGCTCTAGTTGATAAATAATCCTATCTAATAAAAGAGTAATATGCAAATTCACTTCGCAATGAAGATGGCAGCGCCCACAACTAATAAGGAGGGAATATGCAAATTGATGGGACAAGGCGAGAGGTGGAAGGTGGCGCCAGGCTGGAGCAAAGGCGGTGCTGGTAGCCAGGGGAAGGAAGGCCTATTCTTGCACGAATCTTCATGTATCGGGCCTCTAGTAATACAAGAATAAACTGTTTGAGTACCCACAACTGTAAGTCTACATTTGCCCCAACTCAATCTATTTTTGGTGCCTGTGTGCGTGTCATATAGATAGTTGATATAGATGCATGGTATGGCATATATAAATGTCTGAAAGAAAAATACAAAATGATTAATATTGATATCTTGAAAGAATTTTTAAAAGAGTTCCCACAATAAATATGTAAGAAATGCTGTGATTACACATACTTACATACATACATGCATGAAAAGATGGCAACCAAAATCATTTTGATAAGTATTGAGATACATGGATTTTTACTTTTTTCCTTATTCTTTCTTTCTTTCTGCATAATTTGCTATTGACACATATCCTATCTAATAAAAGACAAAAAGGGTAATTGACTGTACCTTTGCTACGCTTCCCATTGGCTAATCAGGGTGACATGCAAATTAACCGCAAACAAAGATGGCAGTTAATTTGCATACTAGGCTCCAAGCGGTGGAGCAAAGCCAAAAGTACCCAAAGCCTGCCAAGCAGCGAGACCTCATGGCCCCGGGATCGGCGGAGCCGGGAGACCTCACGGCCCTGGGATCGGCGGAGCCGAGAGGCCTCACGGCCCCAGAATCAGCAGAGCCGTGAGGCCTCATGGACCCAGGATCAGTTGAGTCCCGAGTCCTCAAGCCCCGGGATCAGCGGAGGCGGGAGGCCTGATGGCTGGGGGGCGGGGCTCTGGCCGGAGGTCAGCCAGAGCGAAGGCCTGGGTCCCGGGTGCCAGAGGAAAACTGGTGCCAGCAGCCAAGGGAAGGGAAGGCCTATTGCAGGAATCTCTTTGTACAACAGGCCTCTAGTTATTTATATAATCAGAAAAAAGGATGTTTTCATTTGGGGGAAAATAAATATCACCGATCTGAAAAACACTGCAAAAAGCTTTGCAATTTAAAAAACATATGGTGCTATAGCTAACGATATTATGAGTTATACATAAAGTGTTTAAGAAAAGTTAATTGTATAGTGCAGGCAATACTTTTTGCCAACACCAAAGACAAAACATCCTATGTAAACAAACACACACACACACACACACACACACACACACACATACCTGGATGATTCAGAAGAGTATCAAGTTCTTCTTTGGCCACAACCATTCTTAATCTATCACTACTATCAATGACAAAAATAATGGCTTGTCCATCTCTGTATAATATAAAGAATGACAAAAATTATAAGATAAACTTATCCAATTTCCCATGTTTGCTCTCCATTTGCATGTCGTAACCTGTGTATTATTTCTTCATATCCTATGTGCATTTATCATTATTGGCTTTGGTACTGTTTCTTATTAGTTCATATGAGTGATTAATATATTAATCATCAGTGGTTATAACATAATTTCTTTTCACATAGATGATAATAGGGTAAATTTAATGACTTGTTATTTCATAATTTTAAAAAATTACAAGTAAAACCACAACCCATTACACAGATATAATCATTGTTAATTTTTTGTGTAAATCAATTTTAACACTGTGTATAGTCACATGTGAATATCTACACCTATACAAATGGAATCCTCCTGTTTTATACACTGCCTTTTTGACATGTATTACATTGACCTTTTTCACTGTATAATTTGAACCACTTTTATATGAAACATTAAAGCTCTAGTGTTTCTCAAATAATTTTTACCATAACCACAGGGAGACATACATTTTGCATTAAGATGCAACAGACACATAACTATATGTAAATATATTTGAAATAGGTCCCCTGAAACAATACTTACAAATAGCTTTTATTTTATTTTACTCTATTTTATTTTTTAAGCTGATAGCTAATCACTGAATTAGTTTAAGGGTTCACTTACAGGTCACAGTGGCACTTCAAAAATCACTGATTCCCTCCTTACCCTTTCTTTTAATAGTTGTAAAGTATTCCATTGCATGATGTGCTATCAAATATTGTCAATCTTCTATCATTGGACTTACAGGTTATTTCTAATTTTCATAATTATGAAAAACTTCAAGATAAGCATTCTTCTAAATACATTTTATAATTTCTTAACATTTTAAAGATCTGTTCTTAGGAATAATATTTCTAGGAGTATATATAAAATTTAAAGTTTTAGATAAACATTGATAAACTGCCCTTTAGAAATGCTCTATCAATGTATACTACTCCCAGCATTTTTCCTACCCTCTTTCAGCATGGTCCTTATCATTCTTTTCAATTTTTGCAATTCTAACAGTATATTATTTTACTTTGTATTTCATGAATTGCTAGTGAAGTTCAATAACTTTTCATATATTTATTGGACATTGATATATTTTTGTCAATCACTTATTCAGTCATAAATTAAGATTTTAAAGTTCAATATCATTATTAATCACATAAATATAAAACTAAAACAACTTTTAAAAAATACTTAAAAAATATGTATTTGTATTATTTCACAGAGAGATAGAAACATCAATGATGAGAAAGAATCATTGATCGGCTGCTTCCTGCATGCCTTACATTGGGGATCGAGCCCACAACCGGGCATATGCCCTGATTGGGAATCAAACCCTGATCTCCTGGTTCACAGGTCGATGCTCAACCACTGAGCCACACCAGCCGGGCTAACACAACTTTTGAATACCACTTTCTCCTGTCACTTAAAAAAATAAATGCAGATTATCACAGTCATATACTACACTGGTACAACTAGAAATATCTTTCAAGAGCTTTAAAGACAGTCAATCACTTTGAGACAGTAATTTTATTTCTGCTATTTCCTCTATGGAAAAACAAAGTGTGACAAAGATTTATGCACTAAGATGTTAATTGAGGGATTGTTTATAATCTTCAAAAACTGAGAATAGCCTTCCTTCCCAAATAAAAAAACGATTGAGCAAATTTTGGCGCAAGCATATGAATAATAATAGGCAGACATTAGAGTTACAATCTGTGTGTTTTTCCTGATTTCCCTTATAGAATGTCAACTGAAAAAGAAGGACAAAAAGTACGTATAGTGTATAATATTAGAAGGCTCTTTCTCAATTATGTAAAGTGTAAATTGTATATTTCAAAAACAATCTTTTAAATCTTTTAGTCTAATAGCTCAAAATGCACTTGTTCTTTAATAATCAAAAAAGTATAGAGACACACAAAATAAATTTGCTATTTTTGTAAACTCGATAGTAACCATTTCACTATTTAACCTACAATTTATCTATAATATTCATGAATCCAGTAACTTCTTCCAAAAAAATTTTGAAGGGAGTTAAAATAAAAAAAAGTTACCTTGTTTTACTATTTTCTACGTATTTTTTTATTTTTATAAAGTAATTAGAATAAAAATTATTTTTAAAAAGTAGCTAAAGTAAATATGTAATTGTTATTTATTTAAAAAATATTTTTGTTTATTTTTTTAGAGAAAAAGAGGAAGGGAGAAGGAGAAAAATATCGATATGAGAGTGGAATATCGATTGGATGCCCCATACTGGGGATTAAGCCTGCAACCTGGGCATGTGTCCTCACTGGGAATCAAACCAGTAACCTCGGTACATGGGATGACGCCCAACAAACTATGCCACACTGGCCAGGGCAAATACATTAATTTTAAAAAGAATTTTTCTAAAACCACTAATTGGAGCAGGAATTAAAATTTCTATACTGAAAACTCAGGGTTTCTTAAAAAAAAAAAGTAACTCACATTTCCCCAGGAAATTTAATGCAAGATACCACACATGCCACTTTCCCTTTTTCAAATTGACCCTCAGATCTGAAATACACTTTTCTACCTCAGAGGTCCTCTGGATCAATATCTGATTTAAAGCGGACTTCAATCTATTAAAATATTCATTGAAAAATATCTGAAGTAAATCTGGGTTCCTATCTGAGAAATAAAATGTTTGTTCTCACATTAGCAGGAAAAATTAACCAATCTAAATCAAAATCTGATCTGGCAGTCATCACACGCCATTTCAAGGCACTTGCCTTCATAAGAGGCATTTAGTCAAGGTATATTGCTTATAAGTTTCAGATTCTAAAAGTGAGTTATGCTGCCTTTAAATGAAGAGTCCTAGTAATATTAGAAGTTAATGAATTCATTTTAACACTGAATAGAAACCCTGAGAGGGTGTAATACATCTGGATGCTAGTAACTTGACAGCTGTTAATCTAATGTGAGTAGCAAGTGCTTGATTTGCATATGCGAAAAATATCTTTAGAATTGCTTATAGAACAAATGGGTCAAGAGTACTGTTATTTTAACTAAATTTATTCAATAAATATTTACTGACGCATACACCCAGCATTATACCTGGCCTTGAAATAATCTGAAGGAAAAATAATGCCTGCCCTTGAAGAGGAGTTCACAAGACTTTAAGATGTGTAAGTGTGATTACGGAGATGTGAAACTACTATGTGAGCACTGGGACAGAATAACTGGGCAAAATAGTGAAATTTCATAGAGGAGGGGACTTTTGAGCACGTCCTTAACGCAAGGGTGGGGAATTAGGCCTTCAGGCTGAATAATGCTCAGGAAATCATTTGGTCTGGCCCTGTCAAGGCATGAGGGGTGAGTTAATTAAATGTCTGACCAAATATAGCAGGCTAATTTTTAAGTTAATAATTTTGTATGGCCTGCAAATGATGTTATAAATGTCCAAATGGCCCTTGGCAGAAAAAGGTTCCCCACCCCTGCCTTAAAGCATGACTATATTAACCTTAAGCAGCAGAGTATAGTAGAACTAGGTGTTAAAAACAGAGCAGTCCTGGCTGGTGTGGGTCAGTTGGTTGAGCATCACCCGTGCACTAAGAGGTCATTGGTTTGATTCCCAGTCAGGGCACATGCCGGGGTTGAAGGCTGGATCTCTAGTAGGGGGCGTGCTGGAGACAGTCGATCAATGTTATGCTCACACATCAATGTTCCTCTCTTGTCCCTTCCTCTCTCTCTAAAAAACCAATAAATTATTTTTTTGGTTTGCTTTGTTAATCCTCATCCGAGGATATTTCCTCATTGATTTTTAGGGCGAGTGAGAGGAGAAAAGACAGAAACATCGATGTGAGAGAGACACATCAATTGGTTGCCTCCTGTATGAGCTCCGACCAGGGCCCAGGCCAGAGAAGAGCCTGCAACCAAGGTATGTGCTCTTGACCAGAATTGGATCTGGGACCCTTTGGTCCGCAGGCTGATACACTATCCACTGAGCAAACCAGCTAGGGCAATAAACAATTTTTAAAAAATATATGTAACTTTACTGATTTCAGAGAGGAAGAGAGAGGGAGAGATAGAAACATCAATGATGAGAGAGAATCACTGACTGGCTGCCTCCTGCACACCGCACTGGGGATGGAGCCCACAATCTGGGCATGTGCCCTGTCTGGGAATTGAACCCTGACCTCATGGTTCATAGGTCAATGCTCAATCACTGAGACACGCCAGCTGGGCCAATAAACTATTCTTAAAAAAAAAAAAGAGAGAAAGAGAGAGAGAGAGAGAGAGAGAGAGAGAGAGAGAGAGAACAACACATGCAAAAGCCCAAAGTTATAAAAGATTTTATGCATATGAGAAATAATGTGAAGTATGACTGTCCTTTCTATAAAATTGGAAAATGCACTAAAGTATATGAAAAATAAACACTGCAACCCAGCCCATGTGATCACTTGGATTTCTAATCATTACTCATTATTTTGATATACCCAACATTCACGATTATACTTACTTATAATAGTGTTCCCAGAGGTTTCTGTATCTTCCTTGACCTGACATGTCAAACACTGTAAAAGACAAACTAAAAAAAAATAAAACAACAAAAAAACCATGACTATATTATAAGCTACTAACTTTAAAGTGTAACTTTTACTTAAACTTTTAAATTGCTTTCAATAAAAGAAACTACTCTTGAGCCTTGGCCAGTGTTGCTCAATTGGATGGGTGCCCTCCCATGCCCTGAAAGGTTGCTGGCTCGATTCCACATCCTGGTTGTGGGCTCAGTCCCTGGTAGAAGGCGTGCAGGAGGCAGCCAATCAATGTTCTGCTCTCACATTGGTGTTTTTTTCTCTCTCTCCCTATCCCTCTAAAAATCAATAAAAAATCTTTAAAACAAGAAAAAAGAAGTCATTTTTGAATATACAATATTCAACTTGGGCCAGTTTTCAAGTACAAATGCTATAAAATAAATCTGTTGAATAGAAATATGATTTTGTAATGAGTAACATAAAAAAAATGTTTTCTTTGCTATTGAGGTTATCAACATTGTCTAAAGCCTAAATTCTAAAAAATAATCCAGAGGAATTGGTATAAATATTTTAACAACTATGGACTCCTGAAAAAACAAAGTACTTTTTCTAAGAATAGGAGGAATGACTAGAAAGATCTAATGTTATCATTTTTACCCACAGCTTCTTAGTCACAAATATAACAAAGTGAATTACCTGGATGATTTGAATTTCTCTATGCTGAATCCTATTGTTGGAACTATATCTTGAGATTGAGCCTTTAAGATAAGAAAAGACAAAGCTTAGAAATTTGCAATTATCAAAGATGAATTTTTTTCCTCAAGTTAAAAAAGAGCATCCAGGTTTTCCAATTCTAAAAATCCGTTACTAAAAAGATGGCAGGTTTTGCAATGGGATCACTGGGGGTAAATTCTTTATAGAAGTTTAAGGTTTACTAATTGTGAATTTTTATGACATGTATTAATTCACATTTTGTGGCTTGCTGCAAGTTAAAATAGACTTCAAGTGGTTTGATAAGTCATGCTGAGTTCACATACAGGATTTTTAAATCTTTCAATACATATTGGTTTACGTACACTATGGGGAACGTCCTCATGTCTGGATGGTATACACCGGTGGTCAGTAAACTGTGGCTCGCAAGCCACATGTGGCTCTTTGGCCCCTTGAGTGTGGCTTTTCCACAAAATACCACATGTGGGCGCGCATGTACAGTGCGATTGAAACTTCGTGGCCCATGCGCTGAAGTCGATATTTTGTGGAAGAACCACACTCAAGGGGCCGAAGAGCCACATGTGGCTTGCGAGCCGCAGTTTGCCGACCACTGGCTATACACAGTCCCTGCTCTCATGGAATTTATAATCTAGATGATTAGTGCCTAGTATCCTTCCAAAAATATCTTTCTTTTTGTTGATAATGTTGGACAGAATTCATTTCCTGCTAAATAAGCAATTAAGTTATAGACAAACACAACTTGGGGCTGCGATTAAGTGCAATGAGGTGTTTGGGGTGGGAGGCAATGGGGCAGAAGGTTGTTAGGAGGCATGGAAAAGGGGTGCTCAGGAAAAGCTTCTCTGAGGAGGTGATATCTGACCAAGGAGTGAATATCAAGAAGAGGAAAAGTTATGACAAGATCTTGGCAAAGAACATTACAGTGAAATGACCTTAACCCCTTCCCCAACAATTTTTTTGTTAAAAACGTTTCTTTTTCAGACTAATTTTTTTATTTTGGTTCTATATAGTATTTTTGATGCTGGTTATGAAAACAGTTTGTAACTCGTCTTCCTATAAACCATATTTTTTTTACCATATTTTCTTAGTATACTCGTCGACGACTGAAAAAGAACATTTTGCGAAAACGAGTATACACGTTTCTGCCGGGGAAGGGGTTAAGACAGGAAGAAACTTACCATTTGGGGAAAGTATAAAGCCTATATGTCTAAGGCATATTATGTAAGAGAAAGAGCTGTATGCAACAAAGTAAGGAAGGTACTGCCTTGAAGGCCATGATGAGGAATTCTTTGTGGAGAGACTGTAGGTGGGCAAGAGTACAGCAGGGGACCCACTGACACGTCCCACAGGCAAGTAACGTGCCTTATACTGGCAACTTAACACAGTGTCTCCTAACATTTCCACCATCAAAACTGTTCCTTACTTTGATTAAAAATCATCTACCTTCTGATCCAGATGCCTAGAGGTTATTCTTGACTCTCTTCTTTTTTAAAAAAAATATATTTTATTGATTTTTTACAGAGAGGAAGGGAGAGAGATAGAGAGTTAGAAACATTGATGAGAGAGAAACATCGATCAGCTGCCTCCTGCACATCTCCCACTGGGGATGTGCCTGCAACCCAGGTACATGCCCTTGACCGGAATCGAACCTGGGACCTTTCAGTCCGCAGGCCGACGCTCTATCCACTGAGCCAAACCGGTTTCGGTAGACTCTACTTTTTTATATTCTCTATATAGCCATTCAATAAGCTTCATTAGTTCCATCTTACTAATTTAGGTCAGACCCTTATAATTTCTTGCTTTTAATCATTATAACAGCCTCCTAATTACTCCCAATTGCTAATAGGCTACCTTACTTAATTTTTCTAAGCCTTAGTTTTCTCAAATTTAAAATATATTGTCCTTAGCTAATAAAGTTATCATGAAAATTAAATGCGTTAATGGATGCAAGATACTCAACAGTGTCTGGTCCATAGCAAATACTTAACAAACGTTTGCTATTATTATAATTACTCTCAGTGATTTTATTCTATTCCCAATTTTCTCCATACTCCCGTAAGTTTAACTCAAAAAAATCCCCCTTCAGTTCATCTGATTGCTTTTATGTGAAAACAGGAAGAATAGAGAAGAAATTGTTGCCTCACATCATAAGTTCACTTTGCTAGTCTACTGGAAATCCTATATAATAAAAGGGTAATATGCAAATAGAACAAATGGCAGAACCAAACAACCAATCAAAGTGCAATATGCTAATGATATGCTAAGGTCGCTCAACCACTTGCTATGACGTGCACTGACCACCAGGGGGCAGATGCTCTGACCAGTAGGTTAGCTTGCTGCTGGGGTCTGGCCTATCGGGACTGAGCAAGATGGGCCGGCATGCCCTGGAGCCCTCCTGCGGCCCCTCCCCAGCTCGATCATGCACCAGTGGGGTCCCTCAGCCTGATCTGTGCCCTCTTGCAATCTGGGACTCCTCAGGGGATGTCAGAGAGCTGGTTTCAGACCAATCGCGCAGGCTACTCCCCTTGGGAGGGAGCCAGAAGCTGGGCTCATGGCTGACGAGTGCTGCTGTGGCCGCATGAGCCTCTCTCAATTGGGTCTGATAGGACATGATGAGTGGGAGCGGCAGGTAGGAGCTGCAGGCGGTTTTGGGCTGCGTGTTTTGGCCTGATCCCTGCAGGCCACCCAGAGGGACCCCACCCGTGCATGAATTCGTGCACCGGGCCTCTAGTTTAAAATTAAAATGGAAAGACAGAAACTGCAAAGTCACTGGAGCTTGGTCCCTTTAATGGGACCAATGTGCCAGTGAAAAGGCATTCTCAGAGCTACCTTGGTTTTGCCTTTCTGAAGTTTGTTTATTCAGCTGTTCCTTCCTTCTTATGAAGTGCCTAGTATTCTTCCAAAAATATCTTTCTTTTTGTTGATGTTGTACAGAATTCATTCCCTGCTACTCAGATTCATGCCTCATACTTTCATTGCACAACAGATTTGGAATAGTCTCCTAATTTTTATTGCCCCCAAATACTCCTGTTTTGATCTTAAAAGTTTCTTGTGCCAATCTTGTGATAAAATCATCAGCTATTATTAGGAAAAACATACCAATAACAAAAAAAGTGAGGAAGTTAAAAGTTTTAAAATATCTCTGAAAATTGAAGCCTTGTCTAACTTCTTCACAAACTCTTTTGTTCCCAGAGAAGCTCCTTTTAACTTGCTATTTTACTTAATAGGGATAAAATTAATCAACTTTGTTTTCTTCCTCTCACTTCTAAAGTTCTAATGGAAGATAATCAGAAAAAAGAAACTCCAAAAATTAAGCAGGATAGAACGAGATATGTAAGCTGACGTTTCTACATTAAAGTGGGATTTATTTTCTTCTACAGAATTTCAAAAAATAGTCTCCAACATTACTCTTCCTCTGCTCTATCCAGGAATAAATGAATTTTGATCATTCTCAAAAGTGGACAGGGAATGGTACAAAGTCAACAAAGAGCATAGGAATTATTACTTAAGAGGGATAGACCTCTCTGGGCTGAGACAGCCCAGGGATAGGCCAACATCAACAAGGAGAGAATGAGATTTCTGAGAGAGACTCTATTTGGTTAGTTTCAGTAAGTCTAGTAAAAATTGTATCCTTGGTGCCAGCAATCATCATTGCCTGTCTAAAAATAAAAATGAAAAAAAAAATCAGTCATCAATCTCTTTGTCCAAAACTATATTTAAGTGCCAAGAAATATTCTAGGGATTCAGTGTTAAACAATATAAGATCCATGCTCTTATGGAATTTAAATTTAAATTTATGGAGGAAATTTAGTGAACAAGTTACCAACTGATAATGCAAGATAATTTCAGACTATTTTAAATGCTAAGAATATAAAACTGGATGATGTGGTAGAATGAAAGCATGCTATGTTGAGAATGGGAGAAAAAATAGGAATTTTAAAGAAATATGTTTATAGAGTGCATCTATCTCTAAGAAATATAGCTAAGACCATATTCTTGAGAAGAATAACATGTTAAAATGTACCCCTTCTCTCCCTATTCATCAGTTTAGAAAACACCAGCAACTTCACTATGTAAACAATACATCAGCATTAGGACGGCTTAATATTAAAAATCAGTTTGGTTCTAGAGCAGGGGTGGGCAAACTTTTTGACTTGAGGGCCACAATGGGTTCTTAAACTGGACCGGAGGGCCGGAACAAAAGCATGGATGGAGTGTTTGTGTGAACTAATATAAATTCAAAGTAAACATCATTACATAAAAGGGTACGGTCTTTTTTTTTTTTTTTAGTTTTATTCATTTCAAAGGGGCCGGATCCGGCCCGCGGGCCGTAGTTTGCCCATGGCTGGTCTAGAAGTATTTACTTATCTAGCAACTGACTTTATCCACAAAAAAATATGGGACTACATTCCAATAAAATGAGATTTGTAATTTTTTTTGTAGCACATTTCTGATACAGTATTGAAGATTTCTATAATTCACTTAATTTATTACAAGTAATGTTTCTAAGACTAAATTCACAAGAGGCTCTTCTTTGGTTCAAAGATAGGGAGGAAGCGAGTGTTGTATCTATACCTGTGTGACAGAGGTTTGGGGGTCTTTAAAAATCCCTTTCAAGCAACTTAGTCTGCTCTCAGACTAGAGGACAATTTCTGTGAAGAAAAAGGATAGTTGCTAGTTCCATAATTCACCAGAGAGAACACTAGCTGGGTACCCAGATTTTCCTGCAGGCTCTCACGAATGTGGTGTATAAACTGGGAATATCAGAAAATTTCAAGATGACATATTGAGCACATGCTGCTTCCTTCCTGTTCTACCCCAAATCTCTAGAAATGACAGAATAAATTATGAAAATTGTAGGGAGCAGCTCCAGAGTTATACCTCGAATTGACCTGTGGCAGAGCCACAAACAAGTCCCAGCTTAGAAGGCAGAGCCCTTTTAGAATAATTAAGCTTTACCTTATGGGCACCCCCTTTCTTTCTTTCTCTCTATATATATATTATTGATTTTTTTACAGAGAGGAAGGGAGAGGGATAGAGAGCTAGAAACATGATGAGAAACATCGATCAGCTGCCTCCTGCACACCCCTCACTGGGTATGTGCCTGCAACCAAGGTACACCCCCCTGACCGGAATCAAACCTGGGACCCTTGAGTCCGTAGGCCGACGCTCTATCCACTGAGCCTAACCAGTTAGGGCTGTCTGTCTTTTCTTTAATTCTTCACCACCCCTCCTCAGGCTCACCAAACCCTTGGCTGTGCTGATATAGCACAGAAAATAAATTCTCAAGTTAAAAAATAAGAGCAAGTGTCTTCAAAGGACCAATAATGTTTAGGGAGAAAGCTATTCCCAGCCACATCAAAGATTATTCCTATGGTAATAACCATGTCTTGGGGTAGAAATCACTATACTTTGGGGATGATAGAGGAACAGACTGTAATTTCTATTTTGTTCTTTGAATATTATTTCTCTCAATTTGAGTATAGTGATTGAGTATAATATAGTGACTGAGTATAGTGATTATTTGAGTACAGTAGACACTGGGGAGTTGGTCCACTGGAGGGCTATTAACTGTGGTTCTGGTTTTCATCATTTTGTACTTATTGGAACAATTTTTAAAAAAATTTCCTTTTGCCGAAACCGGTTTGGCTCAGTGGATAGAGCGTCGGACTGCGGACTGAAAGGTCCCAGGTTCGATTCCGGGCGAGGGCATGTACCTGGGTTGCGGGCACATCCCCAGTGGGAGATGTGCAGGAGGCAGCTGATCGATGTTTCTCTCTCATCGATGTTTCTAGCTCTCTATCTCTCTCCCTTCCTCTCTGTAAAAAATCAATAAAATACATTTAAAAAAAATTTCCTTTTGAGGCCAGTTGAGTATGGTTCTACTTTTTTTTTTTTTTTTGCCATATATCCATTGTTCTCTAAATTCAATTCTGGACCCCCTCCAATTAGATAGGATGCTATATCTTCCTCTTTAAGAACAGATAAGAAATTTCTTATAATCACCTAGGTCAGAAGACAGACTCCCATATATGTTGGCTTTTTAACCCGCTCTTTTCCTTACTGGGGAAAAATCTCTTTTTCCCTGTTTCCATATAGAGACAACTCCATTACAGTGACACTCCTAGTTTGTCTATCTCCCCTATCCCAATTTATTCCTCTCCATGAGGGGGAAATGACTTCTTTGCTCAGTTTGCCAAATGGAACTGAATATCCTTGGTTCTGCCTATCTGTCTGTCTGTCTCATTTGAGAGCCACATGCTTTTCCCAAGCATGCATTCTCACCCGTTCTTAGCCATGCGGTAGACCTAGAAGAGCTAGTCCTTCCTTAAGGAGAAAACATTGAAAGTTTGGAAGGCTAAATTTCAATCCAAGAATGTGTTAGCAAGTCCTCTGGCCAGACTTAAACTTTGCCCTGCAAAATCAACCTTTTCAATAAAGCTGTTATTTTTTTGACCTCTGCCTAATTTTAGCATCTCAATGATTCTCCACTCAGCTGGGAAGTCCCCTTAAAACATCTATATTACCTTCCAAATCCATTATCAGCTTCTTATCCCAGCTACTTCAAACTAATTCCCACCTGAAAATACACCAGTGGTTAGGTGTTTTTAAATGGCAAACTCATCTATGTAGAAGTAGGGAATAATGACCAGAAAAAAAGAAATAATGGCATTTTCTTAATTCCAAAGCAATCTCCAACTAAATAGAAGTAAAACTGGAGCTGTTGCAAAAGAAATGGAGCAAGAAGTCATTCTACCCAACCTGAAGCACTATTTGGAGGCAATGAAGTCTACCTTTAAGTACCATATTTAGGGGCAATATCCCCACTCTCTACTCCTGCAGTCATTAAGAGTACCAGCTTCCTAATGTTTGCCCTATCTGGACAGTCCATGTTATCTTTTCATTCAACTAATGGTTTAAGTGAAATTAATTGACTAATAGTTTTTACCTAAATAAAAGTATTTATAACTGTAAATGTTGGTTGTCTTCCAACATCCACTTTCACTTTCTTCTATACTTATAGGACCCCTGTTATTTTTAAAAGCAGTAATATATGTTCTGATTAAAAGATCCCGCCTTATTTATAGAGAGGAGTAGCCAGTGAGGCCTAAGAGTCATTAGTTGGAGTGTCTGGGTAAATTCTTCCAAGAAGGCTTATTCAGGAAGAAGGCCTATTCTTTTGTCCTGTCTTTTCTCCTTCTTGTGACTTAGAATATAGATATGATAGTTAACCAAAGTGACCATGTGAAGATCTTGAGGATGAAAACCAGGCACTAAAAATAGCAGAGCAAAAAAATGGAAGGTACCTGGATCTCTCGTGACCATGTATCTACCATACCTGCCCTGGAATACCTCCTCTGGACTTATTTAGATGATAGCAAAAGAAGGCTCTATTTTATTTAGTCCACTATTATGTGGGTTTCCTTTATATGTAGCAGAAACTAGCTTTAACTCATGCGTCATGTGTTAAATGTGCTAGCTTTATATAGTTTTCAATTATTAAAACAATAAACTTATACACTTATTACTTAAATGACGTAAAAGTCATCTTGCTTATTACTACTGATATGCATACCATACTCATGAGAAACTGCCTAGTTATCCACAGAACCTGTAAAAATGATTCACCTTTCCTTTTGTTTTGCTCTTCTTATAAAGAGAGAGCCAAAAAGACAGCAAGACTAGCTGAAAGTAAACTGGGAAAATTTGTGAAGATGTTTTGAGAAAAAAAGACATTTGGAAAATATGCCAGTTTAAATAATCAAGATTTACCTATATACCTGCGAAAAATATACTGCAAACAATGGCTTACTGATACTTATTAATTTAAGTAATAAGTTCCCCACCCCTACTGTTAATAGGATTTCATAACATGATTACATGAAGTTATAATGGCAAAATAAGTTTGCATTTTAACTTTCTCTAGAAGAAAACACATAAAACATCTAACAAAGACACTTACATTTGAAGGTTTGAGTTTGTTGATGATGGTGGTTTTGCCACTATTATCCAGCCCAAGGCACAAAACATGGACCTCCTTCTTCTTCAGGCCCAGCAGCCCTGAAAGTCTGTCTAGCAATCCCATAATGCGATTCAGATATTTACAAACCAGCTGCAAGTCAGGAAAAAAACACACACATTACCACAAGCACGTTAAGTATGGAAAATATGAGCATGTATATAAATATTTAATAACATAAAGACACAATGATGTGAAAACCATGTCAATATAGGTTTGCATTTAGTAAACAGAGTATAAGCTGATTACCAGAAAGGAGCCTTAACTGAAATGCAGATCGGCAGCTTATAACCCCTGGCAACATAGACTAATGCCCTGCAAACAGCTGTACATTTGTCACTGTAATTTTGTAATATTTAAGAAGAAATACTGGTTAAACTCAGTATCTGTGGAGTCCACCATTTGTGATACATGAAAATATCTGCAGCCTTTTCTGGAAATTTGGGACAATGTATGGGCAATGGGGTTCATGGCAGGGTGGGGAACCTTTCTCTGCCAAAGGCCATTTAGATATTTATAACATCATTCGAGGGCCATACAAAATTATCAACTTAAAAATTAGCGTGCTATATTTGGCTAAACATTTTTTAAAAATATATTTTATTGATTTTTTACAGAGAGGAAGGGAGAGAGATAGAGAGTTAGAAACATCGATGAGAGAGAAACAACGATCAGCCGCCTCCTGCACATCTCCTACTGGGGATGTGCCCACAACCCAGGTACATGCCCTTGACCGGAATCGAACCCGGGACCCTTCAGTCCGCAGGCCGACGCTCTATCCACTGAGCCAAACCGGTTTCGGCTTGGCTAAACATTTAACTAACTCACCCAGACCAAATGATTTCGTGGACCTTATACAACCTGTAGGCCAACATTCCCCACCCCTAACGTGGAGTCTAAGGCCGAAGTTTAGAAGTAGGTGGACAAAAAAAAAAGAGAACCCTGGCCAGTGTGGATCAGTTGGTTGTAGTGTCATACACCGAAAGGTGGTGTGTTAAATTCTGGGTCAGGGCACCTACAGGAGGCAACTGACTAATGTTTCTCTCTCACATAGCTGTTCTTTTTTCTCTCCCTTTCCTTTCTATAATCAATAGAAAACATATCGAGTGAGGATTAAAAAACATTTTTTTTTTGCCCTAGCCCATTTGGCTTAGCAGTGGTTCTCAACCTTCTCTCCCTTTAAATACAGTTCCTCATGTTGTGACCCAACCATAAAATTACTTTCGTTGCTACTTCATAACTGTAATGTCGCTACTGTTATGAATCGTAATGTAAATATCTGATATGCAGGATGGTCTTAGGCGACCCCTGTGAAAGGATCGTTCGATCACCAAAGGGGTCGTGACCCACAGGTTGAGAACCGCTGGCTTAGAGCATCAGCCGGAGGACTGAAGGGATAGAGGTTTGATTCCGGTTACCTTACTTCGGTTGCAGGCTTGATATGGAAACCAATTGATGTGTCTCTGACATCAATTATTTCTCTCTCTCTGTCTCACCCCTCCCTTCCACGCTCTAAAAATCCATGGAAAAATGTCCTGGGGCGAGGATTAAAAAAAAAAGAAAAAAAGAAAAAGAAAAATTGAGACTGGCTACATTGTTTGAACCCATTGGCTAAATCTTTTTCTGAAGCCAGCTCCAACATTTTATTTTGCAAGAATATGAAGTAATAAATATTAAATTCATGTTTTTATTTGTTTGCTTGATAATATTCAGTTTAGGTTACATTTCCTATCATTAGAAACAAAGAATTCTTATATATAGGATGTCCTCCCAAAATGTCTACACACACCTTGAATAATTATAAAGGCAGTGTTTATTAAAATACATTTCATTTTCGCTCAGCTGGTGTGCTCAGTGGTTGAGCATTAACCCATGAATAATTATAACAATGGTACGATTCCCAGTCAGGGCACATGCCCAGGTTGTGGGCTTGATCCCCAGTAGGGGGAATGCAGGAGGCAGCCAATCAATGATGTTTCTCTCTCAATGATGTTTCTATCTCTCTATTCCTCTCTCTTCCTCTCTCTCTAAAAATCAATAAAAACATATTAAAAAATACATTTCATTTTCAAAACTGAGCTATCAGCTGTTTAAGAGTATATACATTTTTTTGGACATCTTGTATTTATCTTAATTTTTCCATAGTCCTTACATTTATTTCTGGCAAGCCACTACAAATTCATTTAGGAAGAAGTTTATGTATAATATATACACATTCGTGAACACTCACACAGTGTTATCAAACCTTAATATCTGCTTTTTTAAACCATAATGTACCTGAAGTAGCCTGTTAAGTAGTATTTTAAGGAAGTAAATACCGATCTTAGATTTTAATCTAGTTTTCTTAAATACTGTAAAAGTTTCTTTAACTCATCCCTGACGTGTTCATTTGTTTATTAATTCATTCTTTGGGGGAAAAAAATCCTTCCAATGCAAACCTTAAAAAAATCTCCATTAGAAATCCAAACAGAAGTATTTTGAAGTCAAATAAAACGGCTGATAACATATTGCTCACTATGTGGTCACCTGTTCATATCCTTCTAAAGTACGTACTGTTAAATTTAGATGTCAGGTTTCCAAATGAAACTTCCCAAAGGTGTTCCCTTCAGGCCCATTGCCTACCCAAACATTACTATGTGAGTGGGAGAAGAAATGTATTTCTCTGCCAGCTCTAAACTGCTATAGGGACTGCTATAGCAGTAACTATAGTACACCGGTGTTTCAAATATTTCCTATTATTCTCTGAAACATGATTTTTAAAGTTCTCTGCCGGGAGCCAGTCCATCCTTGCTGTTTCAAGGGACCTGGCATATATAGCATACTGTTCTTAATATGTTTGCTCACCTTCTTGGCGCTGTGTTTTAACCAAGGTCACCTCTCCGAGAAAGGTTGTTTCCCCAAGTAGGGATTTTCCCCTGAAGTTAGGGAGGGAATAAAACCTCTTAATTAAGTGCCAGGCGGGTAATTAATCACTTTAACTACGAACAATCATGCTTAAGCTACATAATCTTTACTCCCTGGAATGGAGATAAGAAACGCCGTAACCTTTGGAATAGAGATTGAGAGGATTGGAATCAACTGGTATAAATACAGATGTAACAAGACAACAGGAGACAGAACTTAGATGAAGATCCTAGAGACAGAACTTAGAAGACAGAGCCTAGAACATAGAACTTAGAAGACAGAACTTAGGAGACAGAACTTAGAAGACAGAGCCTACACAGAACCTAGAGACAGAAGAACTTCGCTTGAGAGAACATGGCAAAAGATCCTGGACAGAACCTGGCTACAGAACTTGGCTGGAGAACCTAGACAGAACCCGGCTACAGAACCTAGCGAGAGAACATGGCTACAGAACCTGGCTGGAGAACCTGGAGAACGTGGCTGGAGAACCTAGCAAGAGAACATGGACACAGAACTTGGCTGGAGATTGTGGCTAGAGATCCTGGCAAGGCTGCTGATCAACTGAACGCTGTCTCCGTGTCATTCCTTCTTCGCCGACTTCGTCCACACCTTTGGGGACCCCTGGACCCGCTGGGGTCGGACCCCAGCAGTTCTCTAAACATTAACCTCATTTATTTGATTTATTCTCACTTCCATCTAAGGTTCCAGAAGCCTGTCACCTTACAGCTCCTTCAGTACTTTTTATCCCAGACGAGGTCAGACTTCGAAGGATGTGAGGCTCCAGCAACTTAAATCATAAGAGGCTTCCCAGACAACTGCACTTGAAAAGGGGCTGCAGCATCAATTCTGCTCAGGACCCTTGGGAGATCATTACGGACAGAAGTTTCAAAATGGAATTCTAGTAATGTGTAGGAAAAAAGGTGCAGTGACCCATCCAAGCATGGGGCTTATAGAAGAGCCCCAGTTGCCTTCCCCAAGGAATGGGGTTGATGGCAGGTACTCCATTTGTCCCGCCTGAATCAATTTTTCCCCTTGTGTTGGAGATTTAAATTTCTTTCAATCTATTCCTTTTTATCTCAGCTTAAGGATAAGCATTTGGAGGATCTATTTTAAGCTAGCCTTCTGATATCATAAAACAATTCACACAATTTTAATTCAAAGTAAATTTGTCATAATTCACTGATATACATATATCTAGTTTTCCATACAATTTTGAACCGATTTTAAAAAACATGATGACTTCTCACATGATCCCCCTCTGGGAATCGACTATAAAGCATCAATAGTCAAAAGCCTGATATTGAATATTCATTTTTCATAGAAACTTGGATTGTGATTTTCCGTCCGCTTTTCACGGATTATCAAAGGTCCCAATGCTTGTGACATACAATTTAAAAGAGCAGTCAGTTGTTCTAAAAGGTGTAATTGCATTTACTGAAGTTGCTTTATAAACACATCATATGCTTCTATTTCTTAGTAATTATGTATTTCTGTAAGGTGACTCTTGTGTGCATGAAAGGAGGGGGAAAAAGACAATTCAAACTACTCGACATTTATTTATTATGTCTTAACTGTACAGTGAGAAATACAATGAAAGTTTTCTGCACACTATTGGATTAGTATTTCTGAAGATGGGATCAGACATCCGCATTTTAAAAAGCTACCCAGTGTTTCTGATGTATAGTCACTACTGAGAACTACTGGCTTTCAGAATAAATTCCAAACTATCACGCACAGCTTTTAAGGTTGTTCGCAATTTGGCTCCAATCGACCTTTCCAGTTTTGTATCTCACTGTTTTCCTCCCGCTGCACACTAGCTAATCAAATTCTTTTGGCTATTATCCGAGAACTGCTTTCTAAAGGACTACTTGTTGCCAAAGAAGTCCTAAAGAATTAGGATTTTATTCACAGTTAAGAACTTAGAAGATAAGCTGCAGGGACAGTGGTCAGGCAAAGAAAACACTGAGCTGTACTTTATAATCCTTAAAAAATGTTTCTAGCGTGAATTACAGCACACGCTATCTCAAATAGACATTTTTACTCGTCTCTCAGTGTTTGATTATGAAAGTTTAGTTATACTTCCCACACACCACATAAAAACACCCAGACTGGACAGTACGAAAACAAGCACCGCCACAAAACAACACACAAATGTTATTGGAATGAGTTTTCTGGGGTCCCCAAGTACCCACCGCAGAAGTGCCCTTCTCCCTCCCCGCCTCTCACACGGGAAAATAACCACAGAGTGAAAAACGGGGGGCAGAGCCACCCTGATGCAGCCGGGGGGCGGGCGAGGGCAAGGTGATGGGCGCCGCTGGCCACGAAAATTGTCGGCGGGGAAATACCTGCGGGCCCGGGAGCTGGTGAGGGACGGGGAGGGAGACCTCGCTCGTCCCTCCCGGGGACGGGAATCTGCCGCGGGCGACCCTCTGCCTTTCCTCTCTCGGCCTCCAAGGAAGGCTTTCCGGTCCCGGGCAAAGCCGCCTCCACAAGTTGGGAGAACAAGTAGCCGCCCACTCCGCCCGAGGCTCAGTCAGTAGGCGCGTGGCGTTCCCCTGGCAACCGGAGGCTCTTCCGGTCCCGCAGCCACGCTTCCTTCCAGGTCACAGCGAGCCTGCGCCGTCTTCCCACTCCGCGTCTGGAAGAGCTGGCGGAAACGCCGCCCGCGGAGTGTTAGGAAGGCGGGAGCGCCGTCCCGTGGGGCGTGATGGGAGTTGTAGGCGCGCACCGCCTGTTGGGAAGCGTGTGGCGCCTGCGGTAGCTGCACCGCTCTCCGTCCTGGTCTTTGCGGGATGTCAGCGCCCGGAGCGGGCTGTGCGATCGGCGGGCTGTGCGGGCAGCGCCCTGAACGCGGAGGAGTGTGCGCCGTGGCTGGGCACGGGCCCGGCGTGGTGGCAACGACCGCTGGGCGCACTGTGTTACTAGGGCCAGGTGTGTGCGGGAGGCGCCCCGCTGCCCTGCGCACCCACCCTCTTCTGGGCTCTGATAGGCCTGGGACCCTGGATGCTGGCGAAGTAAAGGTGTTAATGTAGGTTGGGAGAGGAGATGAACTCGCAGGTATTGTTCCGCCAAAGAATGCCTGCATCCTGGCTTCCCAGCTCTCTGATCTGCAGAGTTCCAGGAGGCATAATCTCCTGTGAGCGGATTACAGTCCCCGGAACCAACCCAGCAGGTGGTCAGAAAAACATTAATAGTCTTAGTGTTTAAAGTTAGCCACCTTAGCTTGCAACTGGGACTTTATAGTAACACATGATCCTCCAATTGAAAATATTTTGACATGCACGTTTTCCACATTTTACTATCCTTGCCAAAGTGGAGACTACAGATGTTAGGGGCAAAAAGAATATTGGGGACTAGTTATAATTATGGGAAATATTAATCATGCTCTATTAACCATGCTTACCTTGTTCTGGTTAAAGAAAGGACATTCTAACTTGGTTGGAAGTTGTATGCCCCGGGGCCTGGGAGTCAACCTTGGAATGCCTTCCATTCTCATTCAAGACCTGCCTATTATCTTGGAAAGAGTAACAGCTTTGTTGCCCAAACAATGGAGTCCCACCACAGCCTGCATAGCCTACTTCCCCATGTAATCTTTGTCCTACCCTATATCAGCAGCTGGGTTATGAGGGGCTGCAGAGCAGAGTTTTCTTTTTGTGGACGACCAGCTGCTCTCTTGTACAGCTGGCAGTATTGGAATAAACGCTCATATATGATTCAACCCTGTCTCTGCTTAATTGGCTCAAGCAGTGACAGGCAGCATGGACCCATTGATTGTCCTGGTTACACACATGCAATAGTTTTAAAGGTCTAGGATTTTTTTTTTCTGTAAACCTTTCAATCTTCCTATATAGGCATAATCGCCCCCCCCCCCATGAACGGTGTTCTTGACTTAAAAGTTCTTCGAAGAGTTTTCATTTCTCATCTACTTTGTTACTGAAGTATAGGATTTATCCCTCCTCCAACTACCTAGTGCAATTAACTACCAAATTAGTAATTAATTTGGCCTATTAAATGGAGGGCGAAAAAAGACTAGAAAGAATTCACAAAAGTAATGATGGGGGAAGGGGAGGGTTATACTGTTGCAGAAGACCAGAGGAAAACCAAGTGACACTTTAGAGCAGTGGTTCTCAACCTTCCTAATGCCACGACCCTTTAATACAGTTCCTCATGTTACGGTGACCCCCAATTTCATTGTTACAAATTGAACATAATTAAAGCATAGTGATCAGTCACAAAAACAATATGTAATTATATATGTGTTTTCCGATGGTCTTAGGTGTCCTCTGTGAAAGGGCCCTTAGACCCCCCAAAGGGGTCGCGACCCACAGGTTGAGAACCGCTGCTTTAGAGAAAATGAGTGACACTGTTTATTTTCGCCGGCAAACTCAGGGAATAACTTTCCAAATCTGAGTAAAGTAACATGCAGGCGGCTTCTCTTTTATATCTTTCTGGGGTCTTTGTCCCTTGAAGGTGGATTATGCTTCTGGTCTTTCAGGGTTTGCAAGAAGGCCCCCAGGTGTTGGGGGTCTCCAGGCCATATCTGATGCTTTGGCCTGATGCCAGTGTTACTAACCCTCCCTCCGGGGCAGTGCACTGTTCACAGTTTATGGCCTCTGTAACAGATTCTACAAGACCAGTTTCTGGGAAAGAGGTAGTGACTTAATTATAGGTTATCAAGAATGTACGCTGGACTTGCTGGCACAAATCCAGATTTCTAGCCCCCCAAATATCAGGGTTACATTGAAATTAGCCCTTTTTAGCCTTCTCATTATGTGTATAATTATGGGATGCTTTTTGTTTTGTTACTTTTCCAACTGTGGCTGTTATTTTTACAACGAAAAAAAAAAGAAAAAAAGAAAGAAAAAGAAACATGGCCAGGGCTGGTGGCTGTTGAAATGCAAAAACAAAAAACAAAACCCTTATACAGTTGCATAGCCAAAAGAACTGACTTACAAATGTCTTTGTAGTAATGGAATATGCAAATATATGTTTTCGTCCTTATTCTGTGACCTTAGGCCAATTCATCGTCCATTATGCTTTAGTAACCTCATCTTCAAAAGGACTATTTGTCTCATCTAGAGGTGTTGAGGAAAAAATAGGTAACAGAAGTATATATGTTTGGCACATAGTAGGTATTAAATAATTTCCTGTCTTCCCTTTGTACTGAAATTTTTATTATATGGATAGGATTTTTAAGTGTGGTGGTTCTTTAACTTCTTGCTCTGTATGTCCAGGCATTATGACTCATGTTGATAAGGGATGGTAACTAATTTGCTTTTAGCCATAATTTGACTTTTTTCCCCCTTTCTCTTAAACATAGGCAGAAATCTTATGTTTTAGAACACTTTAGTGGACAGACTTAATTTTTCCTGTTTGGAGTTGCTATATTCTGCCCCTGGGTTGAGTTCTATTTTTGGTTAGTGAAAGGGTTAACTGGAGAACACAAGGCTTGAGCCTTACAAAATCTAACAGATGTCAAAGGGAAAGCTCATTCTACAAGCCGAAGCCTTGCACAAACATGCTCCCCTTGAGTGATTATTTTATAGAAATGCCTGAAGGCCATAATTCCTTACAGATT